GGGAGGAAAGTCGTGGTGGAAGCAAAGCAGATGGCTTCCACTCACACAAAGTACCAGATGACATTCGCCTCAAACAGCTCCCAATTTGTTCTTTAAGTCTTTTGCCTCGATTGTAAAATCCCCTCACTGTTATGGTGCTCACTGACTGACTTGCGATAAGAAGCGGCTTTTGTGTTTGCGGATTCTAATGTTTTTGAAGCTAACAAATATACCATTGGTTATATGGAAAAGCAAATATGGAGGGAGTGATGGCTCAAGGAGAAGTTTTGTTTTGCTATGTGACTTGGCTGTGAGGCATTTGTTGTTCCAGTAAACTGGTAGAGAGACGTGTGATGTGTTATTAACCTCAAACAAGGGTTACTAAGTCGTGCCAACTATTGGTAAATTGTGGCACTAATGTGTCGCCGAGAGAAAAATGTTCTCTCATTCGATGGTGACTTCTAGATGATTTGCGGCACACTTTGCGGTTTTCTGAACAAGACTGCGGATTTGGGATGGTCATTTTTGTGCGAGCATTATCAGGACCACTTTGTTTTAACAGAACCTGAGCGGGGGAAGGAAGTTGATGGTCAGTCAAAAGGCGAGGAATCTGGATTGGCGGAGGAAGGCTTGATTGATGTGGGAGAAGAAAGTAAGGCCTCAGCAGTCATTGAAACACAATGGCAAGGTGAGTCGATCAGACAAGTATTATGGAGTCAACGTTTTGTGGCAATTCGACTTTATTTATTACTAGCTTGTGTGACATTTGTTGTGGAATTTTAATGTTGCGCAATTGATAAAACCGGTTATAAACTTGTATTTGATTTGTGCAGATTTTGAAGAACCTCTAAAAGTGGCACCAGGAGATAGTGTGATTGACGATGTGACAGCGACACGGAAGGAAGAGTATGAGGGGGACAAGGAAGGTGAGTTGGTTTGAGCATGAATGATTCGCTGAATTATTTGTCTGTTTAATGCAGTGTTGTGGTGAAATAGCACATTTTACGGCGAAAATTCGCCAGAAGACAACTCACCCTCGCGTTTCAAAGCTTAAAAGTAGTTTGAGCCATCTAAGGATTGGTGAGAAGTGCATTTATTGGTACCTGCAGAGCATCAAGAGGCCACAAAGGAAGGCGTAGATGAAGCTGAGCCTGAAGTGGAGTGTGAGGGAACGAGGGAAGAGGTGAAGGAGGGGGCTACGGCAGAGCCGGAGGTGGAGGCGACTCCTGGTGTCGATGGTGAGCCTAGCTAATTAGCCATGTTGAAATAATTTTGGGAGTTATTAGGTCATTTCATTATTTGTGGCCGAAATGGAGTATCATTGGTCATTTATATTAACTGCCATGTTAGAGGCCTCATTTTACTGAGAAATTTAGTGGCTCAGTCTTCTCGTTGGGTGACTTTCCTCTGTATTGCACAAAGTAGCCTTCAATTTCAAAGAGCTTAAATAGATTCGTTAGTATATATCACCACGTAACACCGGATTGTGCTCCTCACTATTTGCCTCATGAGCTGATTCCACTCTC